GAAAAAATGAACAGGAGCACAAAAAAATTAGGAGCTGAAGAAGATCGTGAAAATCTCTCTTCTGCAGACCTGAATGTGTTAAATGATGGCCTTTTAGAGCAGGAGTTCTTCATATAGCTGAAAAAAAAAAAAAAAAAAAAAAAAAAAAAAGAAAGATGATTAAAAAAACACCCACTCCTGTAGCACAAGTTACCTGATATGGGACAAAAAGTGATTCATGAAATCAGTTTAGAAATCCCCCACTCCGCTGGCACGAGAAAAATTCAGTTGTGCATAGGTTGATTTATTAATGGCTTAAGGACCTAAATTTAAGAACTCTGTCCTCATCATAGTGGGTCAGTGCTCAGTTCCCAAAGAAGAACATTGCAAGAACTGGCTTCACAGTGAGGAACCTCCAAGAAGAGACCAACCAGCACCCCGTTTTCTGCACCCAGGTGTCTTCTGCAGAAGGGATCTTCTGCACAATCTGCTGCTGAGGTCCCTCAGGGAATGTCTGTGTGGCCACCGTCTGCATGGCAGAGGGAAGACAGACCTCTGAAGAGGTCCAACCAGCAAGCAGCCATGAGCAACAAGTTAATGAAGAACTAGAAACTGAAATGAGAAGAGAATGCCATCGTCAGGAAGGAACTGAATCCTTGGCCACAAGTGCACAAGTAAAATGCAATGGGCAAAGGCAAAGCTGAGGGGGGCAGGGTGAAGATTTGTCTCAAATTAGGTTTAGGTGTCCGCAATATTTGCATTTCGATGTAAACCAGATGCCCAAATCAGAGTCAATGGAGAAATAATAAGTACAATCTGGGGAGTAATTCAGTCCACCCTAAAGACAACTGTTTTTGAAAAGCTAACAGCTCTCTGGTCTCAGTAGAGTCTGTGCCAAGCCGTCTCCACCAACTACAGTGCAACCTTAGGTATCTATTTCATACATAGACAACTACATTCAGACATCCAGAGATTAATCCAACCCAACAGGTCATATACTTTCTCACCATATGGCTTGCCTGCACTGAATAATAATGATAACTCACTCCCCTCACTACATTTTTCCTTCGGTAGAGTGCAAAATTGTTTCACATAGGAGGTCGCCATCATTAGCCCCATTGTATGATGATAAGCAAGGATAAGTGAAATGACCTTGCGAAGGTCACCCGGTGAGAAGGGCAGAGGAGGAAAGGGAACCCAGGTCTCCTGAGGTCTTGGGGTGTGGGGACATTGCTACATCCACTCTCGCTGTGCGGTTGTGCTCTGACCCTCCCTCACTGCCCTTTGCTGCCATAACACAGATGTTATAGGAGTTAACAATTATACGAATGATAAACAAGCTCACCAGAAACTTCAGAGTGTCAAAGCAAGGACACCTTATGAAAAGGATCGTGGAGCGTATCACTTCATATGTTTTAATCAGCTGTCTGTAAAAAAAATTAAAAATAAAAAATGAAGATGTTAAAATAATTTATTTTTAAAATTAAAAAAAAAAATTAAAACCAACCTCCCTGCCTCACCAGTGCCAAAATAACCCTGGCTCTGTCAGATCTGCTGGAGGAGTAAAGCTGCTTAATGACTGCATCTGCTGCAAAGCAGTGCGTCAGTGCTCTGTGCAGGGAGAACGTTCAATCAACATGAATCAGGGAAAAGAGAGATGTCCTTGAATGTTGCATGACTCATTAGATGCTGAAGTCAGTCTCACCTTGGGATGGGGCAAGACACTTGGCACAGACATTGGAGCAGGTTGCCCAGAGCAGCTGTGGCTGCCCCCTCCCTGGCAGTGCTCAAGGCCAGGCTGGATGGGGCTGGGAGCAACCTGGTCTGGTGGGAGGGGTCCCTGCCCATGGCCGGCGGGTTGGAACAAGATGGTCTTTGAGGTCCCTTCGGACACAAACCATTCTGTGATTCTGTGATTGTATGAGGTGCTGCCATCTCACAGCCCTGCTTGAAACCTGGTCAACCTGTGATTAGTGATGCAGAAATGAGACCTAAAGGTTTACAGGAATCAAGCACCTTTCACTGAAGTAGTGGGAAGGCAGTGGCCTGTTACCTGTGCTAAAGATGCTCTGAGTGACATCGCAGACCAAGCTGTCACTAGAAGATGACACCCATAAACCTGACCTCTCCCTGCCAGCACTAAGAGGAAGAGGGAAAATGTAGAAGCACCACAGCTGGTGGGCACGAATCCATTCTGGCCACAATTCACCCTGCACTGGTTTTGGCTGGGATAGAGTTAATCGTCTTCATAGTAGCTAGTGTGGGGCCATGTTTTGGATTTGTGCTGAAAACAGTGTTGATAACACAGAGATGTTTTGGTTATTGCTGAGCAGTACTTACACAGAGTCAAAGCCTTTTCTGCTCCTCACCTCACCTCACCAGCGAGGAGGCTGGGGATGCACGAGAAGTTCGGAGGAGACATTGCTGGGACAGCTGACCCCAATTGACCAAAGGGATATTCCAGATCATATGACGTCATGCTCAGCATATAAAGCTGGGGGAAGAAGAAGAAAGGGGGGGATGTTCGAAGCGACGGCGTTTGTCTTCCCCAGTTGCCGTTACACTTAATGGAGCCCTGCTTTCCTGAGGATGGCTGGATGTCTCCCTGCCAATGGGAAGCAGTGAATGAATCCCTTGTTTTGCTTTGCTTGTGCGCAGCTTTTGCTCTATCTATTAAACTCACTTTACCTCAACCCATGGATTTTCTCACTTTTACTCTTCTGATTATCTCCCACATCCCACCGAGGGGAGAGAAGTGAGTGAGTGGCTGTGTGAGGCTGAGTTGCTGGCTGGAGTTAAACCAGGACACACCCCGACATACAGGTGTCCAATGGGTCTCCAACCACAGTCACTCCTGATGTTCAGTTCTGTGTAAGAGAAAAGCCAAGTCCATGAATTAGTGCACCGATCCCCCGCTGCCTGCACTAGCCTTCCACCCCAGCAAAAGTTTCTTTTTCTGAACTACTCTCTTGGATGCTCCTTCTCCCTTTCCATAGTCCTTGACACCTGTACATGGATGTACAGGGTTTCCAGCTCGCCACCCCAGGTCTTCCCTGAGACCTCCTGATTTCTCACGACCTTTGATAGAGGCTTTTCCGTTTTCAGGAGGCTTTGCAAGTGTTAGCCCACATGGGCAAAATTCTCAGACAGGGAGCAATGAGCACAGAAACTCTAGCAGAGGGGCTCCAAGAAAAAGAGATTTGCAGCCTTTGTCCCTGAGAGATCTCCACCATGCAGGATTAACCCACTCAGCCCCAGATGATGAAGACATCATAAGAACAATGTCTTTCTATGCAAAATGTCATCTTAGGGTGACAGAATTTACAAGGGACTGAAGCTTTCCCAGGGCTTCAGAAGATCCTGTCTAGCGACGTTAGGAAGAACAGCCTCGAGAAGCCACATCTGTGTTAGCACGTAAGACTGCAGTCATGTCTGGGTCACCCCCAAGGAGTTTTTATAGTCAAAATCTGGCCTCTTTGCCACAGGAGGTGCTGGTGACTGAGCAGTGGGAGGGAAGACCATGAGCCAAACACAACAGGGTAAGCTTGAAGACTTCAGCTTGTTGCATGATGATGGAAAGGGCACCTACTGCCTGTTCAGCAAGACGGGGTCAAAATGCTTCTGCCACAGCAGATCTCCTTGGCCAGGTCATCCCATGACCTGGCCAGAGATGGATTTAGGGTAAAAGGAACCTCTGGCAGGTTGCTTAGCTCGACCTCCTGTTCAAGGCTTGTCTCTGAATAATAGCAAGTTCTCTCATCTAAGGAAGTGGGTCCAGAGCCCAGTGATGGTGCATGCACAATACAAGCACATCGCTGGTACGAATTTACACAACTCTAAGTAACATTTACCTCTCTCTTCCTTTACTCCCAATACCATTGACCAGTATGACCTCTCTCTCTCACCCCAGCTTAGAGGGTGATGTTTTAAGATCCTATCTTCTACCCCTCTTCCCACTTCTGTAAGTACACCAGTGCCATAGTCACTCATGAAACACTAACCCAGACTTGTGTGATCCTTCAGGAACTTTGCTGGAAGCTCAGATATACTAGCTGGGTTGAGTGTGAAGGACAAAGAATTTGAAAGCAGACATGAAGTGAGCTCTTGTGAAAGCAGCCAGGAGACCTTTGCCAAATTACACACTGAATTTCATAGGCTGAGGGCAATTCGGCTTTCCAGTTTCCAGGAATAAAGACACAAACCACTCAGGGAGTCTGTTCAGGAAGCAGCTCAGACGTGCAGTAAAAATCAGGTCAATCTGCTTTTCAAGTGATATCAGAACCTCAGGCAAAGCCAAGCTGGTGTCGCTTCTTATCCCCAAATCCTGTGTGCTCTGTATGTTTGTGTGCATAACATGCAGTTTTTCTTAAGGGTACTCTGTAAGCCAAATCTATTTTAGGATTCTCCCCAAAACACTGTAGTTTAGATGTGGTTTTATGACTAACCAGGGTTTCTCCACGGGACAAATGAAAACTGACAGCTTGGGACATAGCTGTCAAGACCAAGTCTACTTGACTACCAGCCATATTTCCCGGTCCAGAGGAGAAGTGTTTTTCTGCTTCTCTTTCCTATAGTCTCCAGGATGAGCTATATGCACATTAAGCCATTAATGAGAACAGCAAATTTACTCTGTTTGTTTGACCATAGTTAGGAAAATTAGCCCTCATTTGCAGAGTCACAACTTCATGTCTCAAACAAAAACCTTGCGTTGCAGCACAGTTGCCTTCAGGAGGCCTGGGGTGACACTCCAGGCTTGGACAAGACAAGCTTTCCCTGCACTGTCTCCAAGAGATGCAACGCTCTGACACCTTTGTTCTGGCCCCAAGAACAGGGAGGGAAAGGCTGGTGACAAAGTACGCCCTGGAGGACTGCAATATATCATCATAACGGACAAACATGCTGATACAAGTGCTCATTTTATCACACCTGTTTAGGGGTTTAGTGCTCATATAGTTTAAACATTAATATTTGCCTATTTAAGAAACGTGCCCCAGTGCAGCCTGACCGTAGAGATAGTCACCATGACTGAGTTTGGAGATTTTATAAGTGCTCTGGGGGAGTTTGGGCTATACCAGAAGCTGCTGGTACTGCTCCTCTCCCTCCCACTACTTCTCAATCCTTTCCAAATGATTGGCCAAGTGTTCATGGTTGTGGATGTGCCCCACCACTGCAATACCAGCTGGATCCGCGCTGTTGGCCCCAACCTGACGGAGGAAGAGCAGCTGAACCTCACCCTGCCCCAGGATGAGGATGGGGTGTACGAGCAGTGCTCCATGTACTCACCAGTGGACTGGGACCTCGACTCCATCATGGCATACGGCCTGAACGCCACAGAGAAATGCAGCAGTGGCTGGGTGTACCCCTTAGAGCAACCGCCGTCCCTGCTGACCGAGGTCTGTGATCACCTTTTGACGTGCTGGGGACGTGGTAGGGAAGGGGTGGGCATACCCTGTCCTGTAGTTTGATAAGCCAATGCCAGCTGTGGTGCAGTCAGGCTGAGATTTACAGCAGGCACTGGGGGACCTTGACTCTATCACACAGATTGCAGCTGTAATTCTTGGGAGGTTGTTGCGGGAAGACCATGATGCAGACGCCCAGGGGGGCCACAGGCAGAGACGGTGGGGGTGTGAGTCCACCACATGCTTTGCCCACCATCCCTCCCCTTTCCAGTATCCAGGCCCTTGAACCCATGATGTATCTTGCCTGGAGGGATCTTTTGGGTCTCCCTATCATTTTACTCTTCAGCCTGGTTCTCCTCACATCGCTTTCCCTATGAGAGATATTTACCCTTCAACGACTTGTCACTGATATTTTTGAGGGCTCCAGGGACCTTCAGGGCTGCAATAAAACATCCCATGGGCCATGCAGTTGAGCAAAGGCTGTGTTTATCAGTATCCCCAACTTTTCCCTCTCTGGACCTCTGTTGCTCTCTCACTTTCCCTCATTCGTCCCTTCTTCCTCCCTCCCTCTCTTCTTTCCTCACTCCCAGCTCCAGCACTTTCTCACAAGTATCTTCCTTTGAGCTGAAACCGAATGAGAAAGTCCAGCTTCTGCCATTTGGCTCCTTGGAGTCCCTGGAGCACTGTGTCCATTTCACAGCCAGCTTCTCTAGAGGCTCCTCAGCAGCTGCTGCATCCCTTCCCACTTCTAGGCCAGTCTTCCTTTACCAGAGAAACCACTGCTTTCCTGCCCTCCTCCTTCTACCCTGTCCTTCCTTTGCAGCCAGAGAAGCAAGCTGCTAGGACTTTTATCCCAAGCTCCCACTTTAAGCAAAACTTGCCACCCAGGAGGCTCTCTCAGGGACACCTGGGCTGGAGGGGGATTGTGGGGGTCCCAGTGCTCAGGAGATGAGCACCATGGTGAAGAAGCAGGCTGAGCACCTCATACACCTGTCCCACCTCTGACTTGTGCCAAATTGCACTCTGTGGAGGCTCATGTCATTGTGGGTGGGTTCTCTGCTCCCAGGGGCTGGAGTGAGAGCTCAGGCACCCAACTCCTGGGTCCACCATGGACCAGAAGGGCTGCCCACCCTCGGAAAGCATCTGGAACCCATCAAGATCAAAAACATCTGTGTATTCCTTCCTCCAGTTTGACCTGGTGTGCGACAGGAAAGACCTGAACGACATCTCCCAGTCTGTCTACATGGCGGGGCTTCTCGTAGGAGCCATGATCTTTGGGCCACTAAGTGACAGGTGAGGAAACAGCCTCCTTCCCAGAGTGATTGCCCAGCACCCAGGGACAGCCCAGCTGAGAGCGCAAGATCTCCATTCACTGAGCATGAAATACTCCCCCCGCAGGACCCGATCTCCTTGCCTGAGCAAAGGCATCTGGGGCCACCTAACATGTCTGTAGATGTCTGAGGGTTGAAAAGAGAGATAGATACAGCCTTATGGGGGAGGGGTTCTTCAGGTATCACTGGTGTCTCAGCTACCCAATAACGTCTCCAGGAATCCCAGAAACCTACATTTGGGGACAGAGTTGGACCCACCTTCAGCTGTGTTAACCAGACTATGTGTCCCTTCTTCCTGTGGCTCTTTTCAGCTCATGGTGACACAGACCAAAGTCCTCAGCTCCACAGAGGGCACGGCCAGACAGGGCACATGGAAGGGAGAAGGGCACAGCATGTGTACAAGGTGCCTCACAGGAGAACCAGCACTACAGTCCGTTTCAGTCTGATCCTCACTGCTCTCAAGAGAGGGGACATAAGGGTCCTTCAAGGGCTGGTTCCTTTACCAGCATCTCCTTTTGCCTTTATTGGCACCACAACAGGTCAAAAGTAGAAAGGCTGCTTTTCCTACCAGTTACTTCCTGGGATGTACAGAGGAGCTTTGTTCACGTGGGTTTCAAATCTCCTCTGGTGTGAATTTGTTAACCATGAGCCAGCAACGTGCCCTTGTGGCCAAAAAGGCCAACGGCATCCTGGGGTGCATTAAGAAGAGTGTGGCCAGCAGGTCGAGGGAGGTCATTCTCCCATTCTACTCTGCCCTGGTAAGGCCACACCTGTCCAGTTCTGGGCCCCCCAATTCAAGAGAGACAGGGAGCTAGTGGAGAGAGTCCAGCAGAGGGCTAC